GTTGGTGGGTTTGAACCACTGACCTGGCAGTTAGCAGTCCAATAGTTATTCTGCCATGCCACTCCAGGACTTAACAAATGGGTAGGGCAAATGAAATTAAGTGTGCTGATTTCTGGACCACTTCAGCTCTTGTTGTAAGGATAGAAAATGACAAGGTCAGTGGTTCAAGCTCACCAGTCACTCCTTGGAAGCCATAAAACAGGGTAACTATGGGTCCGAAACCAACTCAATAGTGCTTAACAACTACAACTTAACAGTGAAAATAAAAGACAGAGTTTGTTAGATACACACAGGTCCACTTTTGAAAATAGCAAAGCTGAAACCCAAAATGCAAGTCAGGTAATTATAATGAACTTGAAAAATGGAGAGGATCTTGTTTCAGATGTATGCCTAAATCTTTACAGGAGCAAAAAGCCTCCTAGTTCTCTCATGGAGCAACTGGCAGATTCTGTAAAAAATAGCTGTTGGGGTGGTCCATCTTCAGAATCAAGGAAATCTTGGGGATAGCAGGTTGGCATGACAAAAGGGAACTCTGAGAAGAGGAAGAGACTAGTTTGACCTACTAGATGCTTTTAAAATAAGAACACATCCATCAAGGAACTAGGGGAAATTCATGGGGAGGGGTTGACACTAACTTTAAATGAGAATGCTCCCTGTAGGGACTAGTAGGCACCATTTGGGGAAAGATTGTAAACTCCAAAGTACCCAGTAAAGGGGAAATGGAGGAGGGGCTTTTTTCCCAGTTAGGTTAATAAAACTCTTTGTCAAATGGCCATGCGGTGCAGCTGCCCTTGTCTTCGGGGCTGGGTGCCCAATTTTGCAAAAGTGAATAAAGAAAACCTCACTCTCACTAAAATGAGTACAGGCTGGATTACTTGAGCATTTGTTAGTATAGACAAAACGTTTCTCACAGATTCCAACTGCTGACCTTGCGGTTTGCAGCCCAGCTCCTAATCCAGTACTCTACAAGGACTCCTTTACCTGATATGGATATGGGTAAATATGTCTCACTCTAGATTTCATGTTTGATTTTTGAAAATCATCTTGGATGTGTTGATATGGTAGCTCTTCCCTGAAGTGGAGGCTTCTATGAAATTTGTTAATCTTTCACCATACGTGTTCCATTGTATACTGAGAAAATAATCCAAGAAACTGGACTATATGAAGAAGAGCGTGGCATGAGTATTACAGAAAGGCTCATTAACAACCTGTGATATGCTATGCCAATGACTCAACCTTGCTAGATGAAAGTGAAGAGGACTTGAAGCACTTGTTGATGAAGATCAGAGAATACAGCCTAAAGTTTGGACAACAACTCAAAGTAAAGAAAGCAAAAATCCTCACAACTGGGCCAATGAACAACATCATTGTTAGAAATGAATCTCGATGTTGTGTAAAAGACACTCGGTGAGACTAAATTACCTTGGCAAAGCAAAATTTACTCCTGCAGGAGGGTTCATGTGCATAGCCGTACATACAGGAACAGGATTATAATTTTAAAAATATGTGTATATATATATTTTCCACATCAGGATAAAAGATTGAACTTGCTAAGGATTTCATTTTACTTGGATCCACAACGAATGCTCATGGAAGCAGCATCAAGATATCAAATGCCATATTTCATTGGATAAATCGGCTGCACAAGATCTTTAAAGTGTTAAAGAACAAAGATGTCAATTTGAGAAGTAAGGTGTGCTTGACCCAAGTCACAGCTTATTCACTGTCCAGCTTTCACATGCATACGAGGCATATTCAGTCACCTTGTATACATATGAAAACTGGACAATGAATAAGGAAGAGCAGAGAAGAATGGATGCATTTGAATGATGCTGTTAGTAAACAATGTTGAGAGTATCATGGACTGCCAGGTGGTGGTGGTGGTTATGTACCATAGAGTCGGTTCTGACTTTTAACAAACCTGTATAGGGTTTCCGAGGCTGTAAATCTCTACAAGGGAGCAGAAAGCTTTTCTTTCTCCTGAGAAACAGCTGGTAGTTTCAAACTGCTGACCTTGAGATTAGCAGTCAAACTCGTAACTACTAAGCTACCAGAGCTCATTATGGACTGCCAGAAGGACGAATAAATGTGTCTTGGAGAAATTACAGCCAGAAGTCTCCTTAGTAGTGAGGAGGATGAGACTTCATCTCATGTACCCTGGGCATGTTATCGGTATGAGAAACGCTATCAACACCCCGGATACCGTATCAGTTCCTCTTGATAATTGGAGGGTTGGTATAAATCCCCAACTAGGACCTTACCCCGATGGGTCTCCAGAGAGAGTTGGGGTAGGCCACCTTATCCTGTATGAGGTCACTGATGGGTTATCACTAGTGTTTACCGACCAACGCTCAAGAAATCCAATCTGTCCCCACTTTAGTGAGAGTGAGGCTTTATTAGTCGATTTTGCAGAATCTGGCATACAAGCCCAGAAGACAAGGTGGGCTGGTGTGCTCAGCAGCTGTTTCATAAGCATTTTACTCCCCGGCTCATGAGTCTCTCCCCTAGTTCCTCCATTAGTGGCTGAGTACTACAGGGTGAACAGTCTTCCCGGACCTATTTCCTTTTCATGGTTACATCCTTATTTTAAAGTTTTTACTTCTTGAACGGGTTCCCTTCCCCTCCCCTAGTTCATCCTGTTTACACAAATCCCAGGTACATGGGTTTTTGTGATTGCCATGCCAGCCAACAATTTGTGCCCTGGCTAGTTAGTAACTTCTTGGCCTTTTGTTCCCCTTTTAACTGAAGATGGACCAGTCTGGGATTTATTTCTCACATCAGGAAGGACCAGTCTCTGGAAAAGGGCATCATGTTTGGTAAAATAAAGGGTTCTTGAAAAAGAGGAAGCCCCCCCCGCCCCCTAAACAAAATGGATTGACACAGTGGCAGCAACAATGGGCTCAAACATAGAAACATTTGTCAGGGTGGGCAGTTCCGTTATGCATAGGGTGCTATGAGTTGGAACTGACTGGATGGCACCTACTGACAAGATACTGTGGAAGTTGTGCATTTAGTTTTTCCTCTAAGGATCAGCCTCCAGGGAAAGCAGTCACCATGTTTTGCAGTTTTGCTCTCAACCAGGGTTTCTCAACCTAGTCTATTACTGTTTTGGACTGGATAATTATTTATTGTGATGTGGTATGGGAGGGTCACTCTATCCTATGCACTGTATAATATTTAGCAACATTCTTGGCTTCTACCCACTAAATGCCAGCAGCACAAAGTCCTATTTGTGACAACTAAAAATGTCTTCACTGCCAAATGTCCCTGAGGTGGGAGGAGTGGGCCAAAATTAGCCCTAATTGAGAACTACGGCTCCAAACCAACACATAATTCATGATGAAAAACTCTTTGCTTTCCATATAAACAATAAGTAGTAAATCCAGACAAAGATTTAATCTATTTGTTCTTCATAATATCAAAAATTTTAATGTAACTCAGTTTTTCACCTTTGAACTTACTGTCTTGGGCAACATATAAACTAAGTTTATGTTATGTAAGGGAAAGAACAATAGCCTGAGAGAATGAGGGAAACTTGTTTCTAGTCCTGACTTTGCCATTAACTGTACTGTGACTTTGGAAAGGAGCCCTGGTGGTGCAGTGGTTAAACATTTGGTTAGCGGTTCAAGGCTACCAGTCACCCCATGGAAGAAAGATATGGCAGTTTCTTTCTCTAACATATACAGCCTTGGAAATCCTATGGGGTTACTACGAATTGGAATAGAACCAGTGATAACAAGTTTGTTTTTTTGTTTTTGGTAACTTTTGGGGGATATATATATACATATATATATATTCCTGTTTATTGTATTCAGGTAACCTTTCTTTTTTTCTTTATTTCCTGAAGTAAAGACTTTATGATCCCTCTCTTTTTCTTTGACTACTTCCTCAAGTGAGTAAAGACTTTACAATCTTTCTTTTTACTTTCCTAAAATAGGAATGCACACCTTAGAAATTTGAATTAGCCAACCAGGTAAGGTAAAGTTGTGCGGTTAAAGCCCTAACCAATGGGATGAGACACAGCCTTAAGACTCACGTCATGGATTAAAAACTCGAGTGGCCCGCCCACTCGGCGTGCTCATTGGCCTGTTTCTGTATGTACGGCTATGCGCATGCACTCTGTTGCAGGAATAAATTTTGCTTTGCCAAGGTAATTTAGTCTCACTGAGTGTCTTTTACGAGACATTGGAATTCATTTCTAACACTTGGAATAAATCACTTAATCTCTCTGACCTGTCCTTGATTTTTTTTTTTTAATTTGTAAATGAAGGATACTGACTAGCATTTCCAGCTTTAAATACAGCGTCTATACGATTCAGATTGTGTTGCCATTGTGGAATGGTGGAATGGTTAATGCCACGGAATAAAAAAAGAAAATTATTTGTCCTAGACTTAGGCTTTATATTAAGGTCCCTTAGCACATTTTGGAATCCTGGTATGGTGCTGCAGGATGATGTACTGGATCACAATGTCGGTTTGAACTGCAAGGTCAGCAGGTTCACACCCACCAGCCACTTCACAGAAACCCTAGACAAGGTCACTGTGAGTCTCAATCAACTCAACTGCACTTCACAATAACAAAGCACATTTTCTTTCATCTCCTGGAGCACTGAAGATATGTATGTGCAACCTGAATCTTTGGAAAGTCCAGCCACCCTACTGGAGTAGTGGCTAGAAATTGATCACCTGTTCTTGAGATGTGGCTACCATGTGTCAATCATAAGACAACCAGAGGGATCAATGTGATAAGGGGGGAAGCTATTTCTCTCATGACAAAAGGAATGTTACTAGAAACCTATGACTTGTGATAGTGTTGCAACAACTACCCTAACCAAAGAAACCACACAAACAAACCCAAAAAAGGAACCCAAATCCTATGTTGTACTTATAAGATATGAAAATCCTAAGATAAATATCAGTAAATCTTGGCCCCTTAACGCTTTCAATTGGATGCTGGAGTGTATTTAAAGCCAGGACAGAAAGAATACTATTTTGATTACCTTTGTAAACACAGGAGCCGCAATGATAGGGTTTCCATCCAATCCTTGCAGATAGTTGGTAGGACTCTGACACTGTTAGGAGGGAACCAATAAGAGTCACTGTTATTATTAAGTAGATAGATAGGAAGGTAGGTAGGTGTAGGTAGATAGATGATTGATAGATAGATGAATCTATAGAATTTGTTATATGAAATTAACTTTAAATCAAAAGACCAACATATTCTACATCTATGAATCACAGACTTCAAATTTTATACTGAATTGAGAACATTTCTGTCCAGGTCATGGTGACTAAATTATATGCCTCCCATTCCCTCTGCACATAAAGATCTATGTAATTAGTCTTGAAGGGCTTCCACAGAATCCCTGGGCCTTCACAGATCACAGTTTTAAAATCATTGGATAGTATAAAATTTGACTCCTCTGCGTTATTAAACAGGCTAAAAAAAACAATTCTGTTTACATGCTTTAAAAAGTTTGTAGATCAATAATTTAATTATCAGTTAGTACATAAGCTAACTGCAAAGCCCACGGTTCAAACCCACCAGCTGCTCCTCAGAAACCCTAGGTAGGGTCGCTATGAGTTGCAACTGACTCGATGGCACTTACAACAGCAACAACAAATGAAACACTATCAATCTACTGATATATAAGTAAATATGAATCTATTAGATAAAACAATATCAATATATTTAGATGACATGATTTCATATGTTTTAAATTATATGCAAACATATATAGTCTTATGCAGAGAAAATGCCTGACAGGTTGTACCAGAAATTATTACTAAGAAGTGCCTCTGAGGAGTGGGCGCCCAGGAGTAGAATCTTCAACAAGTTTTTACTTAATAAACTCTATACTTTCTGAATATTTTCACAATTAAGCATGTAAGCACTGGACTGAAAACCACAAGGTCAACTGTTCAAACCCACCAGTTGCTTCTCGGATACCATATACAGGGTAGCTATGAGTCAGAACCAACTCAAAGGCACTTAATAACAACATTGTTAGTATTAATTTGGTTAATGTTCATGGTTGTTCCATCTTAGAAAGTAGTTTCATAGTACAGAGTGTTTCTTCTAGGCCAGTGAGCTGTAAAGCTCATAGTGAATGCAATTAACCCCCTTCCTTCATAAAGTAGGAATGTCAGAGATAGTCCATTGCAAAGAATTTATTATCCTGTGAAATTTGTCTGTAAAGCTGGGGAATATGCTCCCCAAAACAAGAGGAACCACTGATATTAGACATCAGAAGTACCACGTGATTACTGTGATCACAGAAGTGTGAGGTCCAAGATGGTTAAGAAGTTGCAAAAAATTCAGTGAATTTCTCAGGAAGTGCCATGATCATGTCATATAAGACAGTGGTGGTCATAGCGTCTGCCTGTTACTGTCATGGTGCTCGGGTTTCACTTAGATTCTTGTACCTGTTGGACAGTTGACACACAGGGCTGCGCCACCACTGGCTGGGCGGATGGGGCCGCTGGAGGAATGGCTGCAGAGGTAGTAGAAGAGGATGACAGCTCATTTGGCTTCTGGATTCTGAGGAATTATTTAAAATATAGATTATAAAACAGACCTATTGTTGCGTCAGTTATTTCAGCAGATCTATCTAATGCCATCATGGCTTTATTATTGAATTAAAAAAAGAATCTTTATTCAGCCAAAATTCCACAAAAGTGGCGCTGTGGGTTAATACGCTGGACTGCAAAGTCGGTTTGAACCACAAGGTTGGCGGTTCAAGCTCACCAGTCGCTCCTCGGAAACCCTGTACAGGATTGCTGTGGGTCAGAACTGACTCGACGGCACTTAACAACAACAACAAATGGATTGAATTGTTGTAGTAAATTCTAATCTCTACACTGGCCGCTACTTGGAAACCCTACACAAGTTTTTATGAGTTGACTCGGAGGCACTTAGCAATAATACACCCCATTCATGTTTATATCATGGTATATACTACACTTTAAGGAGTTCTGGTAGTGTAGTGGGTACGAATCGGGCTGCTAATCTCATGGTTACAAGTTCGAAACCACCAGCTGTTCCACGGGAGAAAGATGAGGCTTTCTGCTCTCATAAAGATTTACAGTCTCGGAAACCCTGTACAGGGTTGCTATGAGTCGGAACCGACTCCACGGCACATAACAACAACAACAACAACTACACTTTATTGGAGTCCTGGTGTGGCACTGTGGGTTAATGCACTGGACTGCAAAGCTGTTTGAACTGCAAGGTCGGCAGTTCAAGCTCACCAGTCACTCCTGTGAAACCCTATACAGGGTCGCTATGGTCGGAACCGACTCGACAGCACTTCACAACAACAACAAATTGTACTGTGTCCTTTAAGAAAATCTATCAAGATTACCATTTTGGAGTCCCAAAGCACAGAAACCATAACCTCTGAACTGTCCTCTTTATCTTGAAGAATTTAACTGACCCAGCAGATCCTCTCCGAAGCCACTCTTTCAATCGAACCTGTTTGTTTGCAGGCGCCCTAATGAAGACTGAGGGGTCCTGGTACAGTGCTATAGGATAAGCACTGGACTGCTTATTGAACCGCAGTATTGGCAGTTGAAACCCACCAGCTGTTCCTCGGTTGCTATGAGTTGGAATTGACTCAACTGTACTTATCTACAACAATGAGACTAGATAAGTGTATTACTGAGATAATTTGTCTATAGCCATTCACGATGACAGAAACATGCTTAAACATATTTTGTTTGGAATAGACCTGAGCATGGATGAACTGGAGCCCCAGTAGCAATACTTTTGACTTAGCCTTGTGTGTGCATACACACACACATATATCCGAAATGTTGGCAGATCAAAAGACACTGCACGACTGTAAAAGAAAGGCCTAGTGATCTGTCTGTAAAGATTATTGCTGGTAAGTGCTGTCGAGTTGGGTCCGACTCATAGTGACCCTTGATTAGGGTTTCCGAGCAGCAGCTACCTGGTGGGCTTGAACTGCTGATCTTGTGACTAACAGTCCAGTGCTGATGCTAAAGTGCCATAGCAGGGCCCTCTGTAAAGGTTACAGCTAAGAAATCTCTTCAGAGCAATTCCACTCTTTAACCCATGGGCTTAGCATGAGTTGTAATCAACTCGATTTATATACAAGGGGGCTTCCAAAAGTTCATGGAAAAAATTCATTATCTTTTAACTGCATTTTTCTACAAACTTTTAAAAGCCCCTTCATAATCCTGGTGTGGCACTGAGGATTAATGCACTGGACTGAAAAATTGGTTTGAACTACAAGGTCAGTGGTTCAAGCTCACCAGCCGCTCCTCAGAAACCCTATACAAGGTTACTATGAGTCTGAACAGACTTGATGGCACTTAACAACAACAACATGTATACTTTATGATGATCAGATACTGTGTTCTTGAATTTTTGTAATGGTTCAAGCTCACCAGTTGCTCCTTGGAAACCCTATATAGGGTTGCTATAGGTTGGAACTGACTTGACGGCACTTATCAACAACAACAGGCTATTTTTTATTTATTTAGTTTACTCTGTAGTTGGAAGTATTATGACATTTCATAGGTGATACTTCATTTTAAAATATCAAGAATATTACCAATAATATGCTAGGAAAGACTTAAGGAAAAGAAGTAGAGTTGCCTCCAAATCTACCCGGTGTTTTCTTCTGAGGTCAGAACCTGGAACCACTCCTGAAGATTTCAAGTTTTAACCAATTACCAGCTTTCTCAATATCTGAGAAAGCTAAGAAAGAGGCTTATAGTCTACTAGATAGAAAAGTAGATTTACCGATTCATCTCTTCTTTGTTAGGGTCCCCTTCTGAGTCAGAAGAAGAAACCCCTGGAGAAATAAAAGCAAAACATGACATTTTTAAGATGGTAATTTCTTAAACTGCTTCCTAGGCATTTGAAGACCTACTGAGTCTTAGACCTAGAAATGATTTCCTACACAAATGCTTAGTTTTACAGATGAGGAAACAGGCTAAGAAACTGAAGACTTTATTTAAAGTCACATATCTATTTAGTGATAGAATTCAAATAAAAAGGTCCAACTTCCAAGCACTCTTACATGTAAAGCATCTGCCGATGCCTTTGGACCAACAGAGGATATCTTTGCAGACATTTCGTGGTGGCCACAAATCCTCTTGCCTAACACAGATTGAGTAAGGGAAGGGATTAAGTTGGATTTCAAATATTGTAGCTGTAGGTGGATACTCTTCCGTCCAGTTCTAATATTAACAAGCTGCACCTCATTTTGGTAATGAGGATGTTTGAAACCCTTGCTACAAAGAGGAAAAAAATATCAGCAGCCCAATCTCAGTGCTGTTAGCAGAGCTTTGATCCCAAATTTAATTCTAAAAATAGTGATTCTAGGAAGATACAAGAGTTAAATTTGGAGGTATTTATTGCACTCCAAAAATTCAAGGCTAGAAACATACCAACACACTTATATTTATCATTTTATTCAATAAATGTTCATTGAACAGGCACTATTTGCTTGGTACTATGCAAGGTTTTTAGAGTGCCAGTGTGGCGTTGTAGGATGATGTACTGGACCGCAAGGTTGGTTTGAACAGCAAGGTTGGCAGTTCAAATCCACCAGCTGCTCTTCAGAAACCCCAGACAGGGTCTCAACAAGTAGGAACAACTCAATGGCACTTGACAACAACAACATGAAAGGTATTAAAAATATTAAGAAGAATAAGACAGCCCTGGCTCTACAATCTAGCTGCTAAATGGGCATTTACACCATAGCAATACAATGTTGACTGCTAAACTAAAAGCTTACATAAAGTATTATCAGTGATAGAGGTGCTGCTAAATATGGTCTCAAAAAACTCAGAGTGTGAGATAAATAGGAATAGGACATAAAAGGAACATAAGTTGATTTCTTTCTAAAAGCAGCTATGGAAGTTTGGTGCCAGTGTAAACACCTTTCCAAGTTTCTTAACTGGTCTCCCTACATCCAACCTTGACTCCTTGCAGCATATTCTTAACTAGCAGCCAGAGTGATCCTCTTAAAAATGAAGTCAGATCATGTCATGCCTCTGCTCAGAATCTCCCAGAACTTTCCATGTACTTCAGCCTAAAAAGTGAAGTCTGTGCAATGACATACAAGAACCTATACAATCTGTTTACCTGACTTTCTCCCAGCCCTCTCTTAAATTTCTAATATCATCTCCTGTTGCTTTTCTTCTCTCTCTCCACTCTGGCAACATTAGTTTATCTCTGTATCTTAAGACAGGCACACTTCCATCTCTCAGGCCCACTCACTGTCTGAACTTTCTCCCATGAATAGCCTTGTGGCTCACTCACTCATTTCCTTTAGGTCTTCATTCAAATGTTATCTATTCAGTAGGTCTTCCCTGATCACCCTACCTTAAATTGTAACTCACTCACACACATATATCTACATATGCATACACTCACATATATACATAGTCACACATGCAAACACCAATCATGCACACACATATTCACAACGTCACACATACACACAGTCTCATATACAAGCACACACACAAGCATACACACATATACATACAGTAACACAGTAATATACACAATCATACATACACATCACACCAGGGTGAGTAAAAAATTATCCTCACTCTGCCTGTAGAACTTATTTTAATCAACTTTTAGAGAACACAAATACATCATTTTTTGACATAAGCTCCTTGTTTTTCAATACACATTGTCCATCTGTCAATAAGCTTTCACATTCCCTTAGTTTTAAATGTTTTAGGCTGTGCAGTGAGTCACAAATGCACTGCTGTCTTCACTTCTTCATCAGAGGTGAACCTTAGTCCCAAAGGGCTGCTTTCAGAGGACCAAACAGGTAAAAGTGCGATGGAGCAAGATCAGGACTTTAGGGAGGATGCTTTATGGTAACAGCCATAATTAATTAAGGAATTAAAATGAAGAAACTGAGACATATTAATCGAGGAATTAAATAAATGAGACACGGGGGAACCTGCGCATGAAGAATTCATTGTTTTTGCAAAGCAACAATGAACTATTTTCTTTTCTTTTCCTTTTCTCTTTGGATGGCAGAGCCACAAAGAGTTGTTTTATTATTTTTTATGCACAGATCCCTAGTTAAATTTTTCTCTTGTTGAATCATTCTCTGATTTATTCTGATTTTATTAGTATCCCTTTACTTTAGATTTTGACTCTCCTACACTTTAGTATATTTTCATTAAAAGTTAGAAGCCACACATTAGCTACATTTTATTCTACTTGTAATCATAGGTAGTTTTAATACTTATATTAACAATGTTCTTAAGACTGCTAGGAGACAGGATTTGTCAGTTGAATTACTACCAGCTTAGGTTTAGTGATTGTAAACATTCTTCCTTGTAGCCTTAGTTTAAGGCAATAAAGAATCCCACAGCCATAAATAAGGGCTGTGGGTACAAGAATTCCTAAAAACAATTAGATAAAGGCTATGGGTATAAACAGATACTAAATAAAAAGTCTGACTTAGACGTTCTTAAATTAATGATCAGTAAACTAGAGAAGTTGTTTTTCATAGCCTCAGTTTCCCTGATAAGTGATGTTTTTGTAGGCTATAAACAGATAGTGTATGGAAGAAGTTAATGGAGAGTTAATTACACCCAACAACTAAAATTAACAAGACTTAACAGACAAAGGTTAAGAAATATGTGAAGGTTAACTTGCTTCTCAGAGAAAAGAATAGATTTATGTAGGAACAAATGTTTAACTAAAAGGTTTCAAGGTGCCTGAATGTCTCCTATGCCTTGAGATAATGTTTTTGCTGTAACTTCTCATCCCTGTTGTAAGTTTAAGAATTGTAAACCATAAGGAATGTGCCCCAAGATAGATTGTACCTTGATGTCATTGATTACTATGTATGCAATGTTTTCTGTAATGGTATATAAGGGGGTTGTAAGATAGTATAAGAAGAAGTAGAAGAAAGGTAGTAGAACAAGGAAGTAGAAGAAAGAAGTAGAAGTAAGTAGAAGTAGAGGTAAGTAAGAATAGAGGCAAGAAGTAGAGGTAAGAGTAAGTAGAGGAAGGTAGAAAAAAGGAGAGAGGTAAGAGTGAGAGAAGTAAGTAGAAGCAGAAGTAGGGAGAGAAGAAGGAATATGAGGTGGAGAGGAGATGAGACAAGAATGGAGGGAGGATAGAGGGAGTAATGTAGAGAAGAAGCATGGGAGTGGAGTAGTGAAAATAGTAATGTAGATAATTAGGAGTAGTAGTGTAGAAAGAAAAAGAATAAGAGTAATGTAGAGAAGGAGACAGTAAAGAAATGGAAGGAGGGGAAGGGAGAAAAGAAACAGAAGAGATGAGCAGGAGGGGAGCAGGAGAGGAGAGAATGAAAGCAGGAGCAGGGGAGGGGAGAAAGGAAGCAGAAGAGATGAGCAGGAGAGCAGGGGAGTAAAAAATGAGCAGGACAGTAAAAAATGAGAGAAGTAGAGTAGTATAGAAATGAGAAGAATAAAGCATGTAATAAGAAGATTTTGAATTTATCACGACCCATGACTCCATGTACTCCTTATCGCTGACATCCGCACCCGCCTTCGGAAAAAACCCTGGAATAAATATGCCGGTGCAGGCTCTCGGCAGCTTTAACACCTCAAAACTAAGTTTTTGCAGAGTATCAACAGTGAGGGCAGAGATGTGTGGACAAGCATTGTCATGCAAGATCACAATGCCCTGGGAAAGCAGTCCTCTGCATTTAATTTGAAGTTTAGGTTTCAGTTCTTCAGAGAGCACATAACTGTGAATAGCGCTGTTAATTGTTGAACTGTTTTCCTGATAGTGTTTCAATACGGGCCCTTGAGAATCCCCAAAAACCGTAAGCATCAATTTTCCAGCTGATGGTTGGCTTTTGAACTTCTCTTGGTTGACGATTGAGGCTCTTTCCATTCCTTATTCTGCCGTAGTGGTGCATGCATGTCTCAGCACCACTAACAATTATTTTTAATAAACTTCTACCTTCCTTTAAGCATCGGTCCAAATGTTGTTTACAGATTTCCAGACGCTTCTGTTTATGCTCTTCTATGAGTTGTTTCGGTACCCATCATGCACAAATTTTTTTAAAACCCAAGTCTGTTGTGGATTATTTCATAGACAGAGCCATGGCTGACTTGCAAATGGTTTTCCACATAATCCACTGTGACTTATCTATTCTACAGAATCATTTCACATGCACACTCAGTGTTGTTATCAGCCGTGGACATGAATGGACGTTTTAACATAACCAGAGTACACATCATTTTTTACTCACCTTCATACATACACACTCATGCACACACACACACTTCATATGCATTTTCCTTGTTTTTCTTCTATAGTGTTAATAAATGAAGTACCCATCATTTATATATTTTACCTATAATTTATGTTTAAATATTCTTTATATATTTTACTTACCTCATTTATTTTCTGCCTCTCCCTTTGCAATGTAAGGTCCATGAGCCCATAACCCAGGGACTGTTGTCTATTATTTTGGTTCCCTGTTGCACCTCCATTGCCTAAATTAGCGTGTGGCATAGTAGGTCCACAATAAGGATGTATTACAACTCTGTGCCTTCTTAGTAATTGCACTGTTCAATGAGTTTTTTGTTTACCTTCTATATAAATCTCAGCAGAAGTTGAATCTGTCCCATAGATATTAGAAGCGAAGCAGGAATAGCGTCCTGTGTCCTCTTCAAAGGCTTCAGCAATGGTCAGCGAGTGCAGATTTCCTGCCTGGATGATATGGATGTCTGGGGAATTTTCAAGCTCCTTGCCTTCACAGTACCACCTGTAAGGAAGGAAATATGGCCATTGGATATGACAAAAAAGATGAGAATTAATGACATAGATGGCTCCAGGTGTTCCCTTCAAAGAAAACTCTGGCAAACTTCATTTGGAATCAGAACATTAAACAATAAGTTTGATTGTACCAATGAGAATAGTTGGCAATCTTCAAATCACATTAATTAATAATTTACTCAGGAAATTAGAAATTGGTTTCTATTATTAACAATGACATAACTGAAAGAAAATGGATGGGGAAGTAAACACAATCAACCAGGAAGAACAAGGTCTTTCATCAAGAACTTCACTTTTCAAATGATTTACAGGTTCCTATACCAAGATCAGCACTGTAGGATCAGCACGGGAGCTCTAGGAGCTCTAGTAGCATAGTGGTTACGAATCAGGCTGCGAACCTCAAGGTCAGTAGTTCGAAACTACCAGCTGTTCCACAGGAGAAAGATAAGGCTTTCTGCTCCCGTAAAGATTTACAGTCTCGGAAACCCTGTACTGGGTCGCTATGGGTCGGAATTGACTCGATGGCACTTAACAACAACAACAATATCAAGACTTATACTCCTGCTGTGGTTCTGTAGGATCAGCACTGGACTGCAAACCTCAATGTCAGCAGCTCAAACTCACCAGCTGCTCCTCAGAAACCCTATACAGTGTCACTAGGAGTGAGTCAGAACTGACTTGATGGCACTTAACAACAACAACAACAAAAAAAAAAACAACATACTCACTCCTCAACCAACATAGTGAGATTTTGAGGACTAGATGAGTATTATGCAAAAATGGAGAATGACAACATCAGATCACAAAATAGATGAGTATATCATTACATAACTGCCAAATTGCATCATCACATAACCACCAAATTTTATCATTATTTAGCTGTCAAATCACACCATTATGTAATCGCCAAACCACTCAGAATTATGACCCAGCCAAACTGACACAGAACCTTAACCATCACAGCTAGCGTTACTCTCACCTCTCTCTTCGCATTTGATCCTTGTCAGACATATGTCTTAATGTACAAAATGGTTGGATAGTAGATCTTACTACTGTTGTAAATGCGAAATGCCAGATAACGAGGTCATCGATAAATGAGGAGGTGTATGATGTGCTAAGTTCTGCCTTCATCTATTTGGAGATAATCTAAGCAATATTAATAGTTTATGAAGTAAAGTACATTCATTTCCTACTATTGAATTACATCTGACCTAATTAACGGGAAATTAATTTGTTCTGTATCTTGAGTCATTGGAATAAGGAGGACAGTTCATATTGCCCCAGAAGTGGACCCAATCTGGCAAGTAGCCTAAGTTAAATATGTTCCTATAGGTTATGATATTTTATTTTAATTCTGTATACTTGAAGTTTGAATTTTTATTACAATAGCCAAAAGATTACACAAAAAATGCATAAAATGTTTAAAATGTGAATCCCTAATAAGAGAAATGCTCATTAAAGCTACATAGAAATACTATTACTTATGTGTCATTGTTCAAAATAACAAAAGATTGGAAACAACCCACGTGTCCATCATGAAGGGAATAATGAAATAAACTATGGTCATACAATGGAACACTATGCAACACTAAAAAGAGAATGAGAAAAGTTACTATGTACTTATATGAGTCCTGGTGTGGCACTGTAGGATAATGCACTAGACCTCATGGTCTGCAGTTCAAACTCACCAGCCGCTCCTCAGAAACCCTATACAGGGTTGCTATGAGTTTGAACCAACTTGACGACACTTAACAATAACATTGATATGAGAAAAACCCCAAGTATATAGTCAAATTTTAAACAAGAAGGCACAGAATATATATACTGGAGTCCTGGATAATGCAAGGTCAATTTGAGCCACCAGGTCGGTGGTTCAAACTCACCAGCTGTTCCTCAGGAACCCTCTACAGGGTTACTCTGAGCCAGAAACGACTTGACAACACTGACAACAACAACTACATATATATATAGACTCCTGGTATGTGGCCCTGTAGGATCAGCACTGGACTGCAAACCACAATGTCAGTGGCTCAAATCCCAACCCACCAGCAGCTGCTCCTTGGAAACACTATACAGGGTCACTATGAGTCAGAACTGACACCATGACACCTAACAACAACAACAGAAATATATATATATATATAAGAATATATTCATGTTGTTTGCATTTACCTAAAGAAAACTGAAAATAATTGGCAAACAAAATGCCTATCAGGGGTGAGGTAAGCAAGATGGATGAGGACAGGAAAAGAGACTAAGAGACACTGGATTCTATGAAGAAGAATGGGGCATCAGCATTGGAAGAAGACTCATTAACAACCTGTGATGTGCAGATGATACAACTTTGCAAGCAAAGAGGACTTGAAATACTTATTGATGAAGATCAAAGACCACAGCCTTCAGTATGTATTGCATCTCAATGTAAAGAAAATGAACATCCTCACAACTAGACCAGTAAATAGCATCATGATAAACAGAGAAAAGATTGAGGTTGTCAGAGACTTCAGTTTTCTTGGATCACAGTCAATGCTCATGGAAACAGCAGTCAAGAAATCAAAGGACATATTGTATTAGGCACACCTGCTGCAGGAGATCTCTTTAAAGTGTTCAGAGCAAAAATGTCACTTTGAGGACTAAGGTGCACCTGCTCCAAATTATGATATTTTCAATATCCTCATATGCATATGAAAATTGGACAATGGATAAGGAAGATCGGAGAAGAGTTGATGCATTTTAATTATGATGTTGGAGAATATTGAAAGTACCATGGACTGCCAGAAGAACAAATAAATCTGTGTTGGAAGAAGTACAGCCAGAATGTTCCTTAGAAGCCAGGATGGTGAGACTTTGTCTCTCATTCTTTGAACTTGTTGCCAGGAGGGATGAGTCCCTGGAGGAGGAAATCATGCTTGGAAAATGGAGGGCCAGCAAAAAAGAGGAAGACCGCCAACAAGATGGATTGACACCGTGGCAGCAACAGTAGGTTCAAACATAGCAACAACTGTGAAGATGATTCAAGGGCTGGGCAGTATTTGATTCTGCACAATAGATTGACTATGAGTCAATCTATCATGGGGTAACTCTGAGTCAGAACTAACTTGACGGCACCTAACAGCAACTTAAGTGGAAGACTGCAGAATTTGGGGTGGGGGGAAATTAGAGAGATGAAAACACTGCTGTTAGAGAGTACAGACCTTCTATAGAAGTGTAAGGTGGTGGTGATGGTGTTTGTGTGCCATGGAGTCGGTTCCAACTCATAGCGACCCTGTGTAGGGTTTCCAAGCCTGTAAATCTTTATGGGAGCAGAATGCCTCATCTTTCTCCTGTGGAATGGCTGGTAGTTTTGAACAGCTTACCTTGAAGTTAGTAGCCCACCTCAAAAACACTATGCTACCAGAGCTCCTTATAGAAGTATATAGATTTATGATATGTTAAAAAAGAATAGCTTCACATTTTGACATTGTTTAATAAAGATTTCTATGATTTTGACTTACCCTTGTTCCCTTTAGCCTAGACGGTGCTCTGTATGTTCTCTCCTTTAGCCATTTTATCTCATCCCATTCTTAACTCACCTCAAATTTTAACTTATTACTTCTGCTTTGGATAGATAATAGTCAAATTTACATTTTCAACCTCGACTTCTAGATTCCTACTTCCATGACAATTGCCTTTACTTACTTGTACATTCCACCTACGTTGGTCTTCTGTCATAAGTTATGCCTCTGCTCAAAGGTCACCTTCCCTGACCCTCTTCCTAATGGAAACCCCTATACCCTGCTTTATTATTACCCTAATTATTATCTTATTATTAGCATCTTCTTATAACTATCTGAGGTTATCTAATGTACTTGTTTACTTTGCTACTGTTTGCTTCCTGCACTGGATTGTAAAGCCCACTACAGAGAGCACCTAAATGAGTGTCCCTGGCTCAAGGTAGGTGTTGTTAAGTGCTGTTTAGTTGGTTCTGACACATAGGTACCTTGGATAGGATTATCCTAAACAGTGCTTATCCAATGCTTGTCCTACAGAGTCACCGCACTCCCAAGCACATGGTTATGTGCTGTGGAGTCGGTTTCGACTCATAGGGTTTTCAAAGCTGTAAATCTTTATGGGAGCAGAAAGCCTCATCCTTCTCCCGTGAAACAGCTGGTAGTCTCAAACTTCTGACTATGAGATTGGCAGCCAGATTCGAAACCACTGTGCTACCAGAGATAGGCACATGGTACTCAGAGAGATACTCAGAAAATATGTAGTTGTTGAAAGAATATTTAAAAATATTAACCTAATATTAGTAAATAACAACAAAATATTGAGTTAATATTTTGTAAGCTGTTTGCTAAGATTGTTATTTACTTCATCAAATTTTGTCGTTGTTGTTGTTAGGTGCTGTCGAGTTGGTACAGAACCATAACAACACTATGCACAACAAAATGAAATGCTGCCCAGTTCTGTGCCAACCTCACCATAACTCAAATGCATCAATTCTTCTACTGTCTTCTTTAGTTGTTGCCAAACTTTCACATTCATATGAGGTTACTGATAATTCCATGACTAAGGTGAGGTGCACCTTAGTCCTCAAACTGACATCTTAAAAGAGGTCTTGTACAGCATACTTGCCTAATGCAATACAATGTTTGATACCTTGACTGCTTCTTCCATGATGTTGCTGGTTGATCCAAGAAAAATATAGTCTTTTGGTATCTGTAGTCTGTAGATCTTTCTGGTCTCCTCTGCTTTCAGACAAGGTTCATCTGACATCAGCAATGCTATCCCTTGTTACACATTCTCATCTGAATCCGGCTTGAACCTCTGGCAGTTCCCTGTCCGTGTACTGTTGGAGCCATTTTTAAATTACCTTTAGAAAAATTTTATTTGCAGGTGATAGTAATGATATTGTTTGATGATTTCTGTATTCCATTGGGCCACTTTTTTGGAATGGGCACAAATATGGATCTCTTCCAATCAGTTGGCCAGCTAAGCTGTCTTCCA